AAAGGCAAAATTCGACATTTCCATATGTGGGTATTCAGGCTCTCGCAGCACGCCAGTTGGTTGGAAAGACGCGTGAGCCTCACATTGCTGCGTCATACAGTTGACCCAGGCCATTACAGTTGCGCCTGGGCACATACACACAAAGCAGGGCCGATACATTGAGAGGCAGGCCGTCGGCCTTTGGAAAAGCCGTACTGCCGACGCATCTACCTGGGAGCCCTGTGCAGATGCAGCAAACAGCCAGGCCGCGCCCAACCGAAAAGGGCCCAGGTCCCTCAACTGTAAGTCTCGGGCCTGGGCACAGGGTCTGAGGCCCAACCGGAAGCTACTGGAAGCTTCCAGCCAGGCCAGACGCAGCATCCAGCACACTGCCACTTCCATAAAGGAAGTAGGGCAGCCCAGGCAAGACACACTGGCCAGTGCTGGCAATGCGGATGTGCTGCTGCACTTCTACTTGATGCTGCGCTAATGCCAGGGGTCCTGACGGAGCGCGAGGTGGTGAGAGGGGCGCTGCAGGGCAGCGGGGCGCAGGCGGCCATAGCCGGGCTGCTGGGCGCCAGGGGGTGGAGCGGATGATCGGGTGGTCTTCAGGGAAGGAGGCGCTGTGTGGGGTAATCAAGGTCAGATTGAGGGTGACGAGATACATACCTGGTACATCAAGAGAGGCCGGCGATGGTGTTGGCAGTCATGTACATTGGTCTTCAAGAGTCGAAGTGATCCTGTTGCGTGAACCGGCTGTAGGTAGGCTAGTCAGGTAGAGTAGGCTGGGCGCCGAGCGCCAGACAGCAGAGAGCGACTTTGGATACTGTGTTGGTGTGGCCTACGGGCTTGGACATTGGCTCATTACTTCATTGTATTGCTCTATAATAGTCTATATGAATGGTTTTCTCGGTGCATTTGTACTATCTGCTTGGGACTCGACTACTTGTTCAGCTGTGTGATTTCGCAACTTGGTTTTATGTATATTGCTCACTCTCATATTCCTTGCAGTACCGTTTTCCCTCGATTAGAACTTAATATGCTCATATTATGGTCGTTATAGCTGTAGTTTGGGCAACTTCCATTCTAGGTACAACTACTATAATCATGATCTTGTTTTCTATTTGGATGGACCGTCATGTAGAAGCATCTGACCTCTGTTCCACCATGAAGCACTGCAAGTCAAAGGAAAGTTCAAAGAACGAATACAGAAACCTCTGAAGCCCAGTGGTATGAAGAAGTATGAACTTGCCCCCTGGCTCGAAGTTCCCTTCCCCCCCCCCCCCCCACCCCAAGGCTGGTCCGAAAGCTAGCAGTCGTTGTAAACGTTTCAGTTCTGCTGATTTGATGGGATTGTGCTTTTCCTTTTCTTTTTTCGTTTTTTGTGCTTTTTTTTTTCATTACTTTCCTTGTCCTAACTTTTCTGTGAACAGGGCAATCCGATGTGCATTATGCCCTGCTCACCACTCACACCTCAATTTTGTTGCATTGCGGCAAATGTATGAAAGTGGGGGAAGAAAAGTGTTATGGGGTAGCCTGGTTTACAGCAAACTTCACAGTGCAAATTTTTTTTTGTTGCAACGCACTGGTTCATCAAGGTTGCTGTTTGCGTTGCTGCGTCAGAAGATTTGTATTCAGATTGCCCACAATATGCTCCCTATTGGACTTGAACTGATAACCCATAGGAACGGATTTTAAAGTCTGTGAAAAAGCATGCACATTGCATTCACAGTGGCTGGGAGCCTACTACTCAACACATTCTCCTCAGTTATTGAGATTGTATCATCGTACTCAACACACTTGCAGTGGCTCAGGACAGACTCAACACATTTGCAGTCCAAGAAGACTGCGGCGTGCAGTCTGGCGACCCTGGGACAAGACGGCATCATACGAGAATCATACAAACAACGACAATTATGACTCATCGCTTCTCCACCATAGCCACATATTTTTGCTATGGTAACTGAGCAACGCGGCATCCTCCTCGACAACGACTCATAGCTCGTCCTCCCTAGCCACACATTTTGGTTATGGTAAACGAGCTACCATGGTGGAGTCCTTCCTGGCCATGTCTCCTACGGCAACCTGGCATGTTCGACGCGTTTCTACCGCCCACGACACAGATTCATCACGTCGACGCGAACTCTTGTGGATTCCTTCTGCGTCTCTCAGTGGCCGAGAACTTACTCAACACATTTGCAGTGCGCGCTGATATTATGAGACTCAACAGTACGGTGTCCTCATGTGGGTGGGTGTAACTCAAAGATAACCACATGATGGGGCTAGGGGGAGGACCGGTTAAGAGCAAGCAGCATGACCATTTGTGACCATTGGGTGGCTGGCTATAATGATTTGCGAGAAGGCGACCGTCTTCCCCCGAACATAACGCATATGTGGTGCTGTATTCGACTGTTCAAAAAATTCAAAAATCCGAATAGAATGCATATGAGTTGTATTGGAAAATAAGGGCTGTTCGAATAGAGAGCACATACGTTTTGTGTTCGAATAGAAAGCAACCTATGCGCTCAATTCATTTGCACCGCATAATATGCGTTATGTTCGGGGGTAGTGCATCAAAATTTAAATTTGTTTTTCAAAAACATTTCCGCAGTACAAACTGTCACAAACTTAACCTTACACGACGACACCGTCTTCGTCTGAATAGAACGCCTGGTCATTATATGTGTATTTGCTGCAACTTTTAGTCTAGATGCGAAGATGATGACTGGGTGATCTATTTGGGTGAAGACGGTATTTGTAATGTACTGACTGCGCTAGCTCTGCTTCAGAAAAGAGGTACATGATAATCATCTTTTTTGGAATCAAAGCCTGTATTTTGTTTTGAAAAGCTTTGCATAGTTTGCATACCTCATTCAATTGAATGTCTAATTCAGGCAGAATAATTTGACTTAACATTTCGGCATCTCGTTTGATGAAAAATGCTAGTCCAAAACTTTTGATCTTGAATTCATGATAGCAAGGCGCCGCGTAGACACTGAGCTTCACCCTTCAGCTAACACGCAAGTTGCAAGGGACGTTTGCGTTTTGACTTTCAAGACCAGCTTGCTAAAGCAAAAAAGAGGGGAGTGCTGCAGAGATGTTTGCTCACCAGTGCGTCAATTTTTGCTTTTACTTTCTCTGCTTCAAGGTATTGCTTCTGATGTGCCAACAGCTCCAGCTTACGCCTGTGGTCAAGAAGCTCTCGACTTAACTTTGGACGCACCTCCAGGAGAGCACTGAGGTGCTTCTCCTTTTGTACCATCATCTCTTTCATGTGTTTTTCCTGCAAGAGAGGCAAACTGCTAGGTCTGTTGGTTCGTTGGTTGGTTGTCTGGTTGGTCGGTGCATTGTTCTTTTTGCCTGTTCACTCGTTTGTTTTGACTGTTTTGTTTTTAATTTGTTCTGTTTGTTTACTGTTTGTTTGTTTGTTTGTTTGTTTGTTTGTTTGTTTGTTTGTTTGTTTGTTTGTTTGTTTGAATTTACTGTTTGTTTACTGTTTGCTTTGTTTGTTTGTTTACTGTTTGTTTGTTTGTTTGTGTGTAATTGTTTGTTTTTTTGTCTGTTTGTTTGTTTTTCTGTTTGTTTTTCTGGGGAGCGTCAGTCCGGTTCCTATTCCACCGGCAAGTCAGAAATAGTTACATTGAGTACTCGCACACGCTCCTCCCCCTTATGGTGTGAATGCCCGGAAGATGACATTGATTACTTCCCCAGGAAGGATGTACCACACTTCACCCCTGCCTAAGTTAGCCTGTTTGACGTACTCTTAGACTTGGAAGGACTCTCGGACTTATGGGCCTGTCCTGCAGTTGCTGAAGGCTTGCTTATGTGGGCTGACTCTAGCTTTTCGTCTCGGCTGTATGGCTGTCAGATCTGTGTGAATTGCTGGTAGAGCGAGTTCAGCCTTCCTTTGCGCTCTTGTCTATTACTCTAGACTTACCTTTCTAAGCGCTGTAGTGCTCTTTAGCCTTAGGCTGTGTATCAGGCTTCTCTTTTTGACAGGTTCCTTTTCCCTCGAAGTGCTAAACCCTAAACACTCCTCCCTTACCTACTTATGAGGGTTGGTATAGTGTCGGTGGAAGGTTATTAGGAGTAGTGGGGGGCTTAGTGGATGTGGGATAGCCGAGCGGGGGGGGTGGAATTTTTCGGAGGGGTGGAGGGTGGAGGGGTGGGGGGTGCTGGTAGGTGTGTAGGGCTGTCTGTTCCTTTTTATTTTTCGGGGGAGAGATGTTGTGGGAGAGGTGGAGTAGGGACTGTGAGTAGAGAGTTGTTGGGTTAGACGGTGTGATGTGTTATGAGGGCGTTTGAATCCATGGGTAAGTTTGACTGTGATGGTGGGTGGGGTGTTGGGGGGGGGTGAGGTGAGAACGTGTTCTGCACTGGTGGTAGTGTTAGCCAGTTTTTAGGGGGAGATGGAGAAGGGAATGATTGAGCTAATGCGAACATGGGAGGAGTTAGATCGAATATTTGATACTTAGGGATTGTTGTGGGCGTTGTAATGTTGTAAGTGTAAGAGGAGTTGGGTTGCAGTGGCTGCGGACTGGTTCAGCTTGATCCTTCATATTAATTTCGACGGTCTGGTACTTTGTACGAGTGGAAAGTGCTAGAGAGTTCGGTTTGTCCGATGTGTGGTGGTGAAGGGCTGTGTTGTGCAAAGGTAGATGTGTCACGTGGGAGCGGTTTGTGGTGTTCAATGTGGGGGATGTGTTGGGTGGATGATGGTTGTTTGGTGCGGGGTAGTATGTGGTAGGATTTGGGTTGCTGCGTGTATGTTATGGTTGCTGCTATTGTTTGTGGGGGGGAGGATTAACCAGCTCTTTAGGTTAAGGGTATCGTTTTTAGTTGTTCCTAGGTGGCCCAATCCTAGTTTTTGGATTATGAATTTTTGTGTTATTTCTGCTTTTTTGGCAGGTGCTATGCTTATTTGTTTTTGGGTTTTCCTCCATTGTGCTACCAATTCTGTTTCTATCATATGCTTTATTGTGTTTATTGGGTCCTCGGGATTGATAGGCTGTTCTTCAAAAGTTTTGTCGCATCTCCTTTTCCATAGACTCCAAAGGATTGCTTTTCTGATTAGGGAGAAGAAGAAGGCTTCAAAGCCTTTTAGGGGGGATGTTTGTTCCAGTTCTAGAAATATAGTGTCGGGGCTTATCATGATCGCCTTGCTTGAGAGGGTGCTCCAAGTCTGTTCTAACTCGTGCCATAGTTTCCTGGCCTCTGGGCAATCCATAAAACAGTGGTTTAAAGTTTTCGGGGTTTGTAGGTTGCAGACTTTGCACCAGGAATCCTGTTCAGATCTGTTTTCCTTTTTGCATCTTTGTGCCAGCCAGTGGTTCACCGGAACTGCTCTGAAGGCTATTAGCCATCTTAGGCTGGCCTCTTTTGTTTGTTTGTTTGTTTGTTT